TTTTATCTCTTAAACTCTAAAGTGGTTCTCTTGGTCAGTATCGCATCACTCTAACCGCTCATCGAGGCACCGATGTGCTTCCATAATCATACACACCCCCCTCATGGTCTTTCTAGTTTTACACAAGCCTCAAATGAGGGTTTGAAGCTTTGGCCAACTGGCCCATCACAATTTAAAGTGGTGAACATAATGGGGACAAGATTAAATTAAATTTATTGTTAAGGAGTTTTGAATAACATCAGCCAGTCAAAAACATTTTCTTCTGAAGAGCAAGTAACAACAGAGCTTTTCATCATTTCTAAAAGCCTCGTATAGGGGCCACTCTTCTTGAGTGTCAAATCCAATTATCTTTCAAATTTGCATTTTCCAGCCTTTAGGAGCATAAGAGTCCTTTCTTGTGTTAACGTCCCTGCATCCACTGTAGGCATGTACTAGTGTTGTTTTACAGCTGCTGCTTGATTTGATGGAATTTTTAAAAAATGTCAAATGTTGGTTTAGAGAGAACAAGTTTTTTTTCTTAGGGCTAAAACCAAATCTGCATTAAAAGTGAAGTAAAAAAAAAACACAACACAGCAAAAACACTGAGCAGAAATTAAGATAAGAACATGGAACTTTCAAACAACAAGAGAAAACAGTCTTTAAATGGGTTTTATGAGCCCTGAAAATTAAATGTAGTTAAAAAGACTTAAAAAGCACCTGGATCTGTAACTCTGCTGTTCACAGTAGTGAAGCTGCTCCTTAAGCAATAATCACGTCAGAGCTGAAAAACTGTTTTTACTTTCAACGAAGTACATAAAGAGAAATTTTGATACTTTCTGTGCAACCGCAGTACAGCTTCGAACATCATGACACATTGCTGTGAAAACACAAAACAGTTTTTGCAGTAATTTAGCATTTTTGTGTGTGTGTGCGGATAAATACTGTAATTGTTGACCGCCTGCTCATCTGAGCTCAACAGAACGACTCATTAATGTAGAAATGTTGTTATGCCTGTTTTAGGTATGTCGTGTTTAGATTATGATTGTTGTGGATGTGTGGTTTGTGTGGTCCTAGCTAACAATGGGCCATCAACACAAACACTCCTGAAGCAATTCATCACGTCCAGACAGTGTTGTTCTAAAAGTCGGCTGTTCAAATGTTCTGTAAAGCATTATTCACATGACTGTTTGATGTGATGACGGGAAACTGCACAAAAGCTGATGTCAATACATAGTTTAAGAAGGAAAATAAACTTGTTCAACAGCCATAATCTTACATTTTTATATTTTTTTATCAGACAATATGATAAATTTACCACCTATTTCCACCAACTAACCTCAACTT